GAAGCTGTCTGGGGCCCATCTTGGCCCCCACATGGAGTCCTCAAAGCTGTATGGGGTTCAGCCTTGCTTCCACAAGGGTGGGGATGTGGGTGGGTTGTTGCCACCTAGGTTCCCAAAGCTGTCTGCAGTTCAGCCTGGCTTCCAAGAAGGTGTGAGGGTGGGTGGGTTGTGGTCACCAAAGCTCTGGGAGTTGTCTAGGACCCAACCTGCTCTCCACACTGTTAGGGGAAGGGTGAGGGTGCAGTCATTCAAGCTGCTGAAGCTTAGTTTCAGCTGAACTCCTAGGAGGTTGCTGGTGGGGGAGGATGGGGGAGGAGTCAGGGAGTTTCCACCAAGGCCCCTAAAGCTGTCCAGGGCTCCACCTGGCTGACACATTAGTGGTGGTGGGGTGGAGGCAGCTCACTGAGCTTCCTAAAGTTGTCTGGCATTCAGCCCCACTTTGGCAAGGAGGGGCAGGTCGGGTCGAGGTCAAGGTCAAGGTTCCATACTGCCCCTGACCCAGCCCAGTTTCCGGTCCCACTGGCAAGGGGTGAGGATGCAGTCACCAGGCTGCTAGAGTTGTCTAGAGTTCAGCTGGGCTCCCACGAGTGTGCGGTGTAGCAGGGGAAATCCATATTTTTGTTTTCACGCCCATAGGTATGTAGGTTGATTTTGTTGTAGGCAGCTGAGTTGCATAGAAATACTATAGGCAGTCAGACAGGTCCAGGCCCTTGAAGGAGCCAAGATGGAAGATAAGCTACCCTACAAATGGAGAGGTGGTACTTGCTATGTGCCAGATCTCAAAACAAAAGATTAAACAAACACATCCACATACCTCCCTAGGGATGGACCTCAGAGATTAACATTCTAAATAGGTAGCAATCACTTTGAAGAGTTACTGAGCCAACCCCCTACAGGAAAAGCCCTGTTCTGTATTCATGCCCACTTGTTATGTGACTCACTTCCCCATTTGATCCCCATTTAATCAATTTTACCTGAACAATTATTGGCTGATCATAGTTTTGTGCCACCTCACACCCACCTTGTGATTTCCCATTTTCCCCCCAACCTTGGACCCACCTCACCTTGTGATCTTGCTCTATAAAAGTGTCTAGAAAGGACAGAGTCTTAGGCAACCCACTCAGGTACCCTTGTGTCCCAATCTCAGACAGAAGCTTTCTTTCCCTCGATAATTATATCCTGCTCTTAACCTCCTTTGTTCCTTAAAATTCATTCTTCAATTTTAGAGAATATGAACTCATCCCAGATATCATTCAGGTTGGGAGTTTTTCTCCCCTGTATCAGTTTCATTCAGCTGTCTATGCTGTGCTAAACTGAGTAGCTCTGCTGTATGTTGTAGGTTGGGGTTAGATCTTCAATGTGTGTTTATCTGGGAGCTTCGCCAGTTTGGAGATCTTTTTTATGATCATTGTGCTGCAAAAGCCAATCCAAAGCTCATGAGCAAACTGAAGTGTCAGGAGCTGTGGAAGATGGAAAGTAATTACATGTGGAGGACAAAGCCAGCCTGAGAACATGGGAGCCCCGAGAACATGGGAGCTCCTCAAAACACGTAAACAAGCTGTTGTAGCTTGTTAACTGATTGCTGGACAAGGTGAAAATTAAGCAACCTCTTGAGGGTATAAATAAGTACTCTACTGTTCTTAGGTAGTTTCCCTTCTCCACAGAGAGAGAGGACCTCCACCTGATCCTGGCTTTTGTTTCTTGTCTAATTTTTCCTCATTCTCACTGCTGTTCCTTCCCAGGGTACAGCAAGAACCCAATGGAATCTGACACTGAAGGCCTCACATCAGGTTGGCAAATATTCCGTCTGCTCATGTATGTCACATAGCCACATCTGATGTCTAAGTAGTAGGGAAACATTCATCCCATAGGGAGGAAAGTGAATATGTACTGAACAGTACTTCTGACACTTGTCACAGCAAGGGAAAAAATGTTTCAAGGTGTAGGAGGTGGTTAGTAGCAACTCCTTCAAAAGTGAGGATGAGAAAGTGATCCTTAAGATGGGTGTGGTGGCACACACCTATAATCAGCACTTGGGAGGCTGAGGCAGGAAGATCATTGTGAGTTTGAGGCCAGCCTGGGCTACATAAGTCAGATCAAGGCCAGCCTGTACTGCATAGTGACACCCTGTCTCAAAAAGCCAAAAAAAAAAAAAAAAAGTGGCAACTGATTTAACTGGAACTCACTGGTTGCTCTCGGGCTTTGCTTTGAGCACTTTTGGAGAAATGAAAGGTGTAAGAGCAATTGAAGAAATGAAGCTTAGACAAATTTTTCAAGCATTTTTGTGGTAAAAAGGAGCAAAGAAATGAGGTAATGTCAAAAAGAGGAAGGAAGATCCAGAGAGGTTTTTTTTTTTTAAATGATGTTCATAGTAGGTTTATTATATTTTGAAAAAAATATTCAAGGAAGAAAAGATGATGGTGCTGAAGAAAGACAACTGTTGTAGTGATGCCTTGAGTAGGTGACAGGGGCTACATTTAGTGCACAGGGAGAGAATGTGGCTTTCATCTGAATGTGCACGTTCACTTACAGGTCAAAGGAGAGAGGAGCCTTATGGGCACAGGTGGGGATAATTGGGAGTTCGTGTTAATACATTCTCTTCAGTGAGGTTCCTGGAAACTGACTTGAGGCAAGTCAAGTCAGGGTGGGTGGAGAGATCTTCTGAGTTCCATAAAGGTCCCAAGGCAATCTGGGTGGAACAATGACATCGTCTACTCAAATATTAATAATATAATATTAAATATTAACATTTAGGCTATATTATTTAAATGATATAATTTAAATATTAAATAATTTCACCTATTTTGTAAGACATGTGATAGCTAAAACTTCAACCTGCCCTAATCTCTTTTATTCCCTCAAAGGTATCCTGAAGTAGCTGCCATTTCCATGCCTATTTTTTACATGCATTACATACATATCAATCTGAATTTATACTCTTAATTTCACACATGCTTCCATTTTATGTAACTAGTATTACACCTTATGCATTCATATATAACTATTCAATTTTAAAAATTTATTGTGTTGCATATAGTTCTTTTTCATTCATTTAATTATATATAGTATTTTAATGTACAACTAAATCATTTATCCTATTGTCCATAATGAATAAAATGGGATTGTTTCCAAATTGTTTCTTCTTTGGAGACAATAAAAATAGAAATATAGAAATATTTTCTTGTCTCCATGCAGACAACAAATTTCTAGGGTTTGTACTTAGTGAAGCTGCTAGTCATGAAATATACTGTTTGTTTTTGAGGGCATGTGTTACTCTCTGCCTGCCCTGTATCTGAACCTTCGTTTTATATTTGAAGGCATTCTCATGTATAAGACAACTAGTGACCCCATTCACCTCCCATGAAAGAAGCTGCATCTGCGTAACACTTCCTTTGCCAGCCCTTTGGGCCACTGGACATACTTGGCCCAGCAGCTACCACCCTCACTTGTCCCCAGCAGGATTCTGAAGTTGAAACTAGCGACACAAAGGAGCTGTGTCTGTCGGTGAGGGAGGTGCCTCCTCAGTCTGGTTTAGTGGCATAGAGTTAGCTCTGATTTAGTCAACATAGACTCTTTGCTCCTATTTTTACAGGGCTGCTGCCCAGCCTTTGTAGAGATTCTGGAATCTTCTTCATACTTGTTAAAGGTCATTTTTAGTCTGAATGAGCCAGAGTTACTTTCTATGGCTTGTGGTTGAGGACCTTGATTTAGCTCCGTTTGCTGTAACAAAATACCACATGGGGTGGCTTAAAAAACAGACATTTTGGGGGTCTGGGGATTTAGCTCAGTGGCACAGCGCCTGCCTGGCAAGCACAAGGTCATGAGTACGATTCCCAGTACTGGAAAAAAAAAAAAAAACCAACAAAAAACAGACATTTTTTTCTTACAGTTCTGGAGGCTAGAAGTCCCAGGTCAGGGTGCGTGCATGGTTGGATTCTAGTTAGGGTCCTTTTCTCAATGTATATTCAGTGGCTTTTCCCTCCCCTTCTTACATGTGTATATGGCGGGGCTAGGGGTGGGGCGTCCTCATATTTGGTGAGAGGGATTTATACATGAACTTCAGCAAGCCATTAACATTCAGTCCGTAGCACTGACTATCTTACTTTCCTAAAGAATTACAATTAGAGCCAGGCATGGTGGTGCACAGTTGTCATCCCAGCACTCGAGAGGCTGAGGCAGGAGGATCACTGCAAGTTTGAGGCCAGGCTGGGCTACAAAGTGAGCTCAAAGCCAGCCTGAAGTGCATAGAAATACCATGTCTCAAAAAGAAAAAAAAAAAAAAAAAAGGAATTACAATTTGCACTTCCAGTGTAATATACACAATAGTTATTTCTCTAAATCTTTGCCAACATTTACTGTTTTCAGACTATAAGTATGCACATACATACAGACATATTTTTCATTTTGTTGTTTTGTTTGTTATTATTATATACAAGGTTGATTGAAAAAATAGGCCTTTCTTTGCTCCTTATTACCACAAAATATTTAACTAGAAACAAGCTTATTACAGTAAAAAACTTTGCCATCATGATGACATAAGTGTTTGAAGCAAGACAGAGTATTTTGAGGGGAATTAACAGCAATGTGTCTTTTACTGTAATAATTTTTTCTTTTTGGTACCAGGAATCAAACTCAGGACCTCGTACTTGCCAGGCAGGTGCTCTGCCACTGAGCTATATCCTTGGACCCTGTAGTAAACATTTTTGATGGAAACGTTCACCATATTCTTTGGTCACCTCTTGTTGATCAACTGATCACTGAAGTTTCTGTCAAATAAAAACATTATGATGTGTCTTCATCTACTTCACCCTGGATCTGGCGCTGTGAGACTTTTTAGGTATTGATGTGTCATGTTTGAACTCATTTTCAGCTTCATTTGCTTACTTTTAGTTTCTTTTTCCTATTGATTTATGCTTTCTTATTGATTAAATGACACAAGGTCAGCTTTAAGATTTCATACAAATATTAACCTCATTTTAAAACCTCAGGGAAAAAGATCACCCAAATTCAGGATTAATTTAATTTTTAAGAATAGAATGAACAGTTACAAAACTCTCCATGCAAACAGTGCTGCTTAAAAAATTTCATCTTTAGAGAAACAAAGGTCCTAAAGGCTGACAGTCATCCTTCCTCATCACTGCTGCTCCAGGCGTCTTCAAAGGCTGGATTTAACCGGGACTTGGTTTTAGTCTGAAAAAAAAAAAAAAAAAAAGAAAACAGGAAAAGGAAGATCTTATTTTTCTACTTTACAACTTTAGGATCATAATATAGTTATGAAATATGCCAGATGAATAGCAATTAGAATATTATAAGAAATACTGCCAATACATATATAAGATAATGTAACTTCACTTGAATCAGCTGTACTGGACTTCATCCAAATAACTTATATTTGCTTCAAAGTATTCAGCTCACAAATGCATACATGTGATGCTGCTGGTGCTCAGGGTGTTGCTGTAACTTTCTGGAATGAGCCGGAGAAGGTGGAACATTGACATCCAAGGCGTTAAGACTGGCTCTAGGTCAACAGTCTCACTGGGCACCTTTGACTGTTTAACTTAATACTGGCAACTTTTCATTGTTGAGTGGATTTAACTTCTATAAATAAACGAATACTGATTTGTGAGAAATAGGTTTTTATTGAATAATACCATTACTAGTCCAAAAAGTAAAGGGGATTATTAAAACATTAACTGTTTTGCTTACTTTTATATAGTTAGCAAAGTACTCCAGAAATACATGCAAAACATATCAGAAATGGTAACAAGATTATAGTTAGGCTTCCCTAGGAAGTTTCTCTGAAGGATAATATGCTCTGGTAGTGTTTATTTATTTATTTTTCTTTGTCTTTTTGAGATAGGGTCTTGCTATGCAGTTTCAGGCTGGCCTTGAGCTTACTGGTCTCAGACTTTCAAGGCTGGTGTCAAACTTTCAAGTATCCTCCTGCCTGAGCCTGCCAAGTGCTAGGATTACAGGAGAGTACCACCCTGCCCAGCTGGACAGTGTTCATTTAAAACAAGAGATTATCACAGTATTCACAATTTTAGAGCCATGACTACTAGAGGTAATCAGCAATTACTGCATAGCAGTTCAATTAACTATGAATTATCAAATCCATTCACTTGTTTGGGAAACCTGAATAGCTACCTCTATATTCTATGCCCAGGACTAAATGTTTAAACATAGAGGCATTATTTAAAAGTGTCTGGGCACATGAGTTAAACCTGCTTCCCATTTTGCAACTTGTATATTGGCCAGTTTATTCAGATCCAAATTCCAACAATGTCTTGGCAACAAAACTATTCGTACATTATCTTAAAGGTACTGCCTTTCATAACTTACAGAAATAGTTTATGTTAAGGGGAACCTCTACTTTGTATCTGAGCATGTTCATTTTCCTTTTGATGAACATGAAGACTAAGAATCTTCTAATGCAAACAAGGAAAATAGTAGAAAAAGCCAGTGTTTCCAGTGTATTTCCAGAGTATCAGCTAGGAAAGATGGAAAACAAAACATTAATGTAGTCATTCTTTTTTTTTTTTTTTGAACTGGGAATCAAACTCAGGACCTTGCGCTTGCCAGTCAGGTGCTCTGCCACTGAGCTATATCCCCAGTCCAATGTAGTCATTCTTTATGGATGTTAAATAGAGTACATTACTAATCTTAACGTTGGTTGTCTTTATTTAGGTATACAACCAAAATTCTGTAATATTTGCTCCCAAATGTACAGCTACAAAACTATAATCAAACCCCAGGTAACTACACACTCATTACTAGTGGTCAACTTGTATGTAAGAATAGTGTAGTCAAGTCTGTTCGTTTATTTTTTTCATTTGAATGTATTCAGAATTTCCTGTCGTTTTGTGTTGACAAGTTAACTACTAAGGTAGACTATTTAGTGAGAGTTTCCTTAACAATGTATTGTACAAGGTGTAGTGGCTTTCTTTCCCTAACATCTTTAGAAACTTAATTTTGCCTTAATTATCTAACAGAAATGTCCCTGGGTAGATAAGCCACAGATGGGTCAGGCCTCCTAATTCCACAATGGAAAGCCAATATACAGTTAGTAAACATTTTAGTTTCCTTAGAAGACTCAACAGAGAAATAAAATTATGTTTCACTATAAATTATTTTTGGTAAGGTGAGATAACAAACACAAAGAAATGAAAATTATAATGTCTATAGGTAAATTTTGCAATGTATTGTAAAATAAAAATATGAATACATTACAGGTAAGAATAAATAATTTTGTTATTAAAACAATCACAAATAAAATATCACAGTTGTGGTTAAAAGCTACAATGAAAATATTAGTACACATGTTACTGTTGGAGATGCCCTGAAAAGTTTAACCAGCTCTTACTACTTTGGTTGTCTCTCCATTTCCTCCTAGCAGAAATGCAGTCTCTGCCTGAACATACTCATTGCGACCTCACAAGGCTGCGTGTTTTACTGGTGGAAAATTGTGAGTGTTAGTGCGGATAAAGAAGCATAAGTTGAGAAGAGACCTAGTCTAGGTCCAAATAGGGGGGTGAAACCAAAATAAACATCTGTCAGGGAAATATCTTGGTAACTTCCAAATTTCTAACTGGTCATTTTTGGAAAGTTTCTATGTTTCTATGTCAGCATATGACTGTACATCTACCAAGGGGTAAGCAAAATTGGGGTATATGGTATGACGGTCAAACTAAAGTAAGGTTCTTGTTTTTTGTTTTTTTTCTGGTACTGGGAATCGAACTCACGACCTTGCGCTTGCCAGGTGGGTGCTGTGCGGCTCAGCTAAATCCCCAGTCCCTAAAGTAAGATTCTTGATGAGAAGTCATGTTTAAACTGTACTGGCCCTGTACATCTCAGGCAGGAAAAAAGAGATTACAAAATACAGATCAGCTAGACTTGATGATGACCACTTAGAAAGTGAGAGGGGAAAAGGAGGAACCCTCAGGATATTATAAAATAGCCTGAAAATGTAACAATGGAGCATATGCTTAAAGGCCATGAAACTTGCTCCTATCATCTAATAGTGTTCAGTTTCTTCAGATAGAATTACAGCCCTGCTCCTCCACTTTGGATACGAGGAGAAACATCTCTAACATCTCTAAGGGAGTATATCTTGGTTGATGGGGAATGTGAATTTGAAATGAAATCTACAAACAACTTTGCTTTAACAGTTCTGATATGTGGAAATACCATCAACTTCTGAAATACCATCAACTACCATTATCCTTCTGGCAAGGATAATATTGCCAGAGCTGGGAAATAGATGGCAGAACCAGGATTCAAACCCTGGTTTATATACGTGTATGTTTTATATTATGTTATGTTGCTTTTGTGGGAAAATGCAGTAGTGATTTATTTGACAGGTGAGATGAAAACATTTTTGAATAGGAGTAAAACTGTAAACATATACCTAAGGAATAGGTTCTTGTGCAGACAGACTTCACTATGAGGATTTGCATCATGGTCATGTGCATATTCTATCTACATTCATAGGGATCTTTTGAACTAAGATTTTATGAAAACAAACAGGATGTACTGCTTTATAGCAGTATGAGAATGATTGCTTTCTTAAAGTTATAAATCTGAATAGTATATTTTAAAAGAAAAGGCTTAATAGCTCTAAAACTTAAATATCAAGCTCAACTTTCTTTTTGTATATCTGTATTTTATACTTTCTACTTCTTTTGCTTAATTTCTCCTATAAAAGTTCTTTTAGATGCGGAGTTCAAAGTATCAGTTTAATTACATAACAAGGAAATAAACCATCAGACTCATAAATTATCTTCATGATAAGCAATGTAATTTTCTCCTAATACTATTTTGTCTAAATAAGTCCTAGTAGATTTACTTTATATTAATTCTTACTATTTTCATTTGGTAAATGATTGTTAGACTTCTTAGCATGGCCCACAGTGCTATGACTTTGTTTTACTATATACAGTGATTCCCCAAAGCAGGATATATAATTAAGAAATAACACAAAATAAATGGCTAAGCTAAACTATTTGACAATATTCAACTTTATACTGAAGAATAGTCAGTCATCAAAAGAAGCTATATGCTGAAACTAATCAAGCCATAATAAATCAAATTATCCATGTAATGAAATCTGGACATACTCATATAGCATTTGGCTAACTGCCTAAAGATTTATCAATATGAGTTTTTTTCTCACACTTTGACCAGGGTCAAATGAAAATAATTTACAGGCTTTTCACTGTAATAAACCATAGCACTTGCAAGTTAGGGTATGAAATATATTTTGTTAATAGCTGCTACATACTATCTACTATCACACAGAGATTTTATTTGATGTGTTTTTTTACAGTCCTATAGTCATAAAGGAATTAAATATGTAAAAAATGTTTTTAGAACATCAAACATGCTTTATCAAGAACTTCTTCCACCTCCATTGAAGATGCTTTGTTTTTACTATGACTTGGGTTAAGATTATCTTAAGATGTTTTTAACTATATTATTTGAACTTCTGACTTGGAAATTATGTAAACGTTGCTTTAGACATTACACTTTTTACCTCTTAGAAATTTAGATGAACAGGAGATGATTAATAGTGCTTAGGAGAATAATCCTTGGCAGAAGTGATACCATCTTCAGATAACCTGTTAGTACTGCTTGGCATACTTTTTATGGAATAGGGTAATACCTAAGGCCAGAGATCATGTCTCATTTGTCTTTCTTTGCTCACTGCTCTTTATTCACAATGGCACATTTATAGTAATTTTTGCTCTCAGATATACTTTAGATTGCTAAAAGAAGTATAAATTGGTAAAATTTGACCATATGAATACAAAAACCTTCAAAATGTCATACACAGTAACTCAAGAGGTCATTCCACTTTTAGAAATCAATCAATCAGAAATATGAATAAGTTATGAATAGGTACTTACTTTGTTTATAATAATCAATAAAACAAACTAATATTTCAGTTCTATTACAGAAATGATAGCACTGTATCATTGAAAATGTGTGTAAACAGTTATAAACGACAGAAGAAGGCTTATTGTACATTGTGAATAAGGAAAGACATCAATTTGTGTGTCCAGCCATGATATTAACTATGGTAAAAGAACATGCTAGGAAAAAACAAGAATGAAGTAAATAAAAATATACTCATCAACTTAAGCAATTTTATATTCTTTTGCTTTTTCCTAGAATTTCCAAATGTGTTGCAACAAATCCTTTTTACACTCAGAAAACAGCATGACATGCTTGAAGTCTCTGTCATATAAATAAAATTTATTCTTTATGATTTAATAGTCATCATACCATTTGTACAAATAATATTTACCTCATCTTCCTCAGGAAGTGGTTCATATAGGGATGGTACCCAAGCAAGAATATTACAGTCTCTGCTACCACTGTAAAGTTCCTATAATGCAGGAAGCGGAGGTGAGATTGTGGATCACACTAAAGGTGGTATCAAATGAATGATCTCTATCAACTTTTTAAATGATTCTTAGGTTAGATTAATTATATTAATTCTATTTCTACTGCCTAAGAAACCTAGGCTGTAAGTCTTTTTCCTTTCTTTGTTTTTAAAGGTATGGTAAAAACTTTCTTACAAAGGGCATGAAAATTTTAGAAAAACGTTCAACATCCTAGCAGCTTTACCAGTTGTAGTATCCATACAGTTGAGCGTCAATACAGAAGGGGGTACAATGACGAGTTTGCATTTGTATAAGTAACAGTGCTTTAGAGACAAACCTCAAACAAGAAGCCATGTATTTCTTTCTAAAACAGCTAAAACTTGACAAAAAGTTTCATTTAGATTGCTGCTGCCTAACTGGCTGCTAATCAACACAAGAGCATGAAGACCCGTACCCTGCCGGTTGAGCTTCCTTTATAAATGCATGCGTGGGGAATGGGGATATAGCTCAGCAACATAAGTGCTTGCCTGGCAAGCCTGAGGTCATGAGTTTGATTTCTGGTACCAAAAAATAAATAAATAAATAAAAATAAAAAATAAATGGAGGCGTGGGCTTAGGCACAGTCTACCAATGTCTTTCGTGGACATGTGTTTTGCTATTGGCTGAACAGCACTCATTTCTCTTTCCAACAAATCTGAAGAAGTGTTATATGGACTAGTACTGAAAACATTCTTATGAGACAGTGAAATAGATGCTCTCACATACAGAGGGTATAACTTGATATAACGTTTTCAAGAATAGAATCTCAGTATATAGCCCAACTTTTGTATGCATTCTGAAAATACGCTAAAATCACACACAAAATTCAAATTTTATATTCTTCATATAATTTTTTTCATAAAAAGGAATAATTGTCAAAAAATAGAGGAGTGATTATTAGTAAATTATCATGGTATTCACATTACAGAGTATTATGTAGCCATTAAAACTTTTGAACAACACTTAATGACTTTGGAAATAAAATATCAGGAGAAAAGAACAGGTTATAAACAAAATACTCAAAATGTTAAAAGGGAAAACAAGACATGAAACAGTAGGTGGATGACAGTAAAAGGCTAAAAAGAGGGGAGGGCTAAAAGGGCAACCAAATGCTAGGTGGCCATGCAGAGGTGCACGGCTGGAAGCCCTGAGGCTTGCAAGTCTTAGGAAGGAGGATGTAAAGTTTGAGGTCAGCCTTGGTAACTCAGGAAGACCATGTCTCAACATACAAAATGAATGAAAAAGATAGGGAATGTACTCAGAGGGAAAACCCAGGGATAAAGGTTAAATCCCCTATCACCCACACTCACACACACACACACACTCACACATACACACAAAACACATACAC